CATCACAACTGCATATGGTATGAGCTAACCATAAGCCAGGGAGTACATGGTAAAGTAAAACTGACCTAGCCTAAAATGCTAAGCTCAATAAAACGCTGTAATTCTGGTGCATGCATGTGTCTAGGACAGTTTTCAGGTTGGTGAATAGCTGTTGCAAAGTTTGTTACCTGGAGATCTTACCAAGAGTGTTTCCTTTTGCAGACTGACAACACTAAGCTATTGCCTCAAAATTAGCAGCAGTGTTGTCAACCTGCTATGTGCACTCCTTCAGTTGTGGGTTAGACTGTGTACCAGGTCTGTCTTATAAGCACCTCAATGGCAAACTGAAGGTGCTTGCATAGCAGGCTGACAACGTGGCATCTGTTAATTTTGATGGCAATGGCTTAGTGTTAACTTTATTGCTATCACAAGGGGGCCAAGTGAAAAAAATAATAAAATGTATGAAAAATATCAAATTAAAAATGTAAAAAGAAATAATTAAAATAAAGTGATACAAAATAAATGTTATCTATAAAAAATAAAGTAAAAGATAAAAATGTAAAAAAGAAAGCAAAGTGATACAAAAATAAAATGTTTGAATATGTGTGTTTCTCTGTTTTGCCTAAGGCAGTGATGCTGAACGTTTTCTAAACCCCAGCGCCCAAACTAAAACACAATACCAAACTTATTTTCAATGTTGGCACTTTTAGATAAATAAATTGATTTTGCGTTGCAGTTTTGGACACTCAGGCTCAAAAACGTTCCCCATCACTGCCCTATGCTGTTGATAATAGCCAGTCAGTGTTCCTACGGTCATTTTTCCAGTGCAGGTTGTGAATTGGAATGATCTGAGACCACACACACACTGACATATGAACTTTCTCAGCCCATGTCTTGCCATGGCCTCCTTTTTTTAATCTCTTTTACCAAGTACAAAATTCTAGACTGGCATACGAGTCAAGGGTTTGATGTTCATTCCTCTGTAAAATGTATCATTTCTCTGTTTGCCATCTGATGGTGCACCATGCTGAGAAATTAGATAACTTGCTTTAGAACAGTTGCTAGTATATGAAGTTCTGCCTTCTGGCTTGGCCTTTTTTCCCCAATTTTGCTTTTCCTCAGCTGTGTAGAGAAATTCCTGTTGACGCACATTCATCAATATGTGATACAGGTCAGCTCAGTTGTACAGGTTCCTCTCCTTTTTAAATTTCTTACACTGACCATACACTAGTTAAATCTGTTTAATCATATGACATTTAAGCCGTGGTTTGCCCTTTCATCACCACCCAGCTCAACAAACTTCAAATAAAAGATCAAAGGCAGCAGGTGGATAATTATTGGCTGCACAGTGACTCCAACCTATCAGAATCATGTATTGATGCAGCCATGGGTGCTAGCTGTCACAGATCAGCGCAGACATCTCAACTCTCCCGGAAGCTCCGGGAGTCTCCCGCTATTAGATAACGGCAGAGCTGATCTGTGCTTCACTCCTTTGAATTTGTTTTTTACCTTTTCCTGCTGTAGGTCTGCTGGCAGCTGTGGTTCTACAAGCATGTGCTCTGATCTTGCTGCCCAGCCTTAGCAGCTATGGGTGTCAGCCACTTCACCTGATGGTTTATATATCTTCCTTCCCGCCACTTCCTGTCCTGCCTCCTATCTGTCTCCCTATTTAAATCCCTCTCAGACTCAAGTTTCTGGTTGTTTGAGCTGTGATGTACGCCTGGCCCAAGGCAGCTGTACGTCAATTACGCGTGACTACACACAGTTCTGATCTGAGCATGGCGATACCATTCTCAGCCTCACCCTGCACAGAGATTCCCCAGCTCGTGGGACACATTCTCAAGCCAGCAGACTGAGAGTGATGGTCACCAGGGTTGGTTACCTCCACAGTTAACCCTTAACCCACAAATGTTCACTGCCACCGTATGTTTTTTAAAGGAAACACAGACCAAGTGGTGTGACAATTTAAAACACTTAAAGGAGAACTATGAGGTGAGTGCAGCTGGCTCTGCCTCTAGATAGGCAGGGTACAGCTGGCTCTGCCTCTAGATAGGCAGAGCCAGCTGTCAGTCCCGCAGCTGGGCGGATCCAGACATAATTGTCGGGATTCGCTTCAGCAGCGGCGGTCTCAGTATACCGCGAGCTATAGCTTGCGGTATACTGAGCCTAGGGTGACGGGAGGACGCTAGTTTGTGTCCTCCCGTTACCCTAAGGAGAACTATGGGGAAAAGCCTTAACCCCATAGTTCTCCTTTAAACAATGCCTATGATAGCGCTGTCCTCTCAGACAGGAATATGACAGGAGTCACTAAACAGTAGCGCTCTTCACAGAGGCAAGGATACTTTAAGTTCATATTTAGAGCGTAGAGATAAGCTTAACGATTTTTAAGATCATCCTTTAATAAAAGAAACGGTGCAGAAAATATACAGAAAATATATTAATAAAAAGACAAAATATATATACAACAGTAAAATAAAAGGGGAATACTTAACAGTCCTGGAATTAGGAGTTCTGACAGAGTTCAATATGCAAAAGAGAAGGCTGAAGGGCTCTTCTATAGGCTAGCTTTCAGCAGAGCATGTCCAGAGATTAAAGGGGAACTCTTCTGCAATGTTAAGACTTCTTGTTGCTGGAGTTCCTTTCTTGATGTTTCTTTCTTGATGTTTCAAAACAAAAGCCCCCCTCTAGCTGCCTTGCATCATATTTTCCTAGCCGCTAAAGAAGGGTGTCACAGAGCCGGCACCTGGGGCAGGGCTGGGGAGGGAAAGCAGGAGGAGGATGAACCTTTATTTTACACTATGACCGCCCAATTCCAAATTATGAAATGTAGCTGATATTGTAACTCAGGTTATGACTTTTGGGTGAATGCGGGGTCACCTGGGTCATTACCTCTACCAGACCTGCTTGTTTATTTTAACTTGTCCACTGTTGACAGATGAGTGCCTGGTGCCATGCCTTTAATTAATTAGTGAACTATAAAAGGCTTAGAGAGTTATTTGGGACTTTCACTAGGGCTGGGGAAATAAGGATCATAGGCCAGATAAGTAGATCTCTGTTCTGTGGAATGTGGAGGGACCTGGAAAATGTCTTGAGCCGATTCTGTGCATTCATTCCTAACCTGATTTCCTGTGGACTGATCTCTTGTGTACCGACACGGCTAGTTCTCCTGATTACGTTTGCCTGCTGCCCGCCCTGACCTTGGCCTGTTATCCGGATCTCCTTTTGTTCCATTCATCCATCCATGCCTGCGTAGTGTCCTGTGTCTTCGGGTTCTCTCCACACGAGCAGGGTCAACCTGGGGGTCGTGACCTGTAGTCAGGACGCAGCTAAGTCCGAACTTCCGTGACGGGGTCCCTGGCAGATCACGGCTGGCCCTTAGATTCCACGCCCTGGGCATCCCCTGTCACCTGCTTGCCTGTGGGCTCACATCCCTAGTACTGTGACACTAGCTGACTGAATACAATAGCCAATAGGGGGGCGTGACCAAAAAAACATTATAATGGATGCTGACCTTTACCTGAAGGACAACTAAATGTAAGGTCTGGGTAAATGTATGCTCACACTGAGATGCATATTTGGAGTGCATGCACTATATATATATACATAGACAGCAGTGAAAGGGAGGAGGAAAGGAAAACTCTTAAACAAATCAACTATTTGGTAACCAGGTATGCGCTGTCATCTTCTATCCTCTAAATACACGTCTTCTCTATGGAAATGCAAGCAAAGTGATTTTCCGGGAACCAGAATACAGCTAAGAGTCCTTGCAGATGACCTTGGAGGTGCACCTGACTTCAACTGCATCAGAATTCTTTATACTCAGTGGCTTCACAAGGGGAGTCTGGGGGGTGCAGCCCGCACCTGGGTGACACCATTGGAGGGGTGACACCAAAATGACTGACAGTCATCTTTGCCTCTCACTCTCTTGTTTTTGGTGCCGTTTTTGCTGAATCCTAATGGGCGTTTGGGGCCACTTGTAGAATATGGAGTCCAGTTTGAGAACTTGAGAGGTAGGCAGCTAAATTGCTGAATGTAATGGAAAATCTTACTTATAGTGAAAGATTAGACTGGGGAATGTTCAGTTTAGAGAAAAGACATCTTAGAGGTAACTTCGTTTACATGTTTATATATACACTGCCTGGCCAAAAAAAGTCACCACCTGGATTTAGCTAAGCACATAGGTCAGAGCCTTCCATTGGATAATAGGTCTAGGTTCAGCAACCTTATGTTCCCAAAAAATGAGGTCAGCCGCCTACCTGAATATACTGAATGACCAGGTTTTTCCATCAATGGATTTTGTTCTTCCCTGATGGCACATCGGGCATATTCCAAGATGGCAGTGCTCAAAAGACATAGTTATAGTCAGCAACACAATCGGTATGCTGTTGCATCTCCATCACAAACAACATACAAAGCCATCTACAATTCTGCTCCAGCTACATCTCAATACCTCCTGCTCTCCAGCTCCCTTGTCACCTCCTCCCATGCTCGCCTCCAGAACTTCTCCAGAGTGTCTCCCATCCTCTGGAACTCCCTACCCCAATCTGTCAGTTTATCTCCTACCCAGTCCACCTTTAGGCAATCCTTGAAAACTCATCTCTTCAGGGAGGCCTATCCCACCTCGACATGATAACGGTCATTTTATTTCTTCTATTAACTCATACCACACAACTATTACCTTTTGTATCACTTGCCCCTTCCAATAGATTGTAAGCTCTCACGAGCAAGGCATTCTTAACCCTCCTGTATTGAAATTATTTTGTTACTGTACTGTCTCTCTCCAGTACAGTTACAAGTGCTGCGTAGACTGTTGGTGCTACATAAATCCTGCATTATAATAATAATCCAAAATATTAGTGCATACCATGTGATTTTCCAACCCTAACTAACTAAAGATTTGGTTAACGGTCCACTTTGAAAGTTGAATGTAATCTGGTGGGTTTGATTGGTCACATACAGGGTTATTCACAAAGGGGTGAAGAGTTTGGAGAAGTGAACAATCTAGGACAAAATAGCTGAACTGGAAAGTGAGCTAAATTGAAGAATTTGCCAAATCAGCTATGTTGTCCTAGATTGTTCACTTCTCCTGCCTTCTCCAAACTCTTCACCCTTTTGTGAATAACCCTGTATGTGATCAATCAAACCCACCAGATTACATTCAACTTTTAAAGTGGACCGTTACCCAAATCTTTAAAAAACCAACAAGTATTGGAAATGTTTAGTAATGGCAATCTACAAATACATACTTCTAGATAATTGCCGGCTCTGTATTCCGTGCAGACCTTATTTCTCTTTTCTTCCCCAGTCTTCTGACAGTGGCCATGTTTACTAAGGGCAGATTACCAGCTCTCCTATTACTTCCTGGATTTCTAGCACATGTGACTAGACATGTGACTAGGACATGTGACCATGCACATTATCACAGGTGAGGAAAATGCCTTTTCCTGAGATTACAGCAATGGTCTGCTGATGATAAGGCAATCCCAGTGTGCATTGCTTTGGCAAACTGAAGTAATTTGCACTTTCTAAGCAGGAAATGAATGCTCTGCAAGTGTAACTGTTTCACAATCACAGCATTTTACACCTGACATGTCTGTGTTATTATTCATCATCATACATAGAGGGATGCATTGATAGAATTAGATTTTTGAGTGTAAAGGTCCGCTTTAAGTGTAGAAGGTCATCATGCACCATCAGAACATTAGAGATATTTCCGAGGTCGCATCAAATCTTTCTCTTTTCTCTCAGGAGATCAATACAGATGAAGATCATATAAGTTGTAAACAGGTATAAATATGCAAAAGAAGATCTTATCACATTTATTTCTTCTTATTGGACTATTTGTACCCGGGACTTCATCTACTTGAGCTTAACAGACCTTTGTTGACAGAACAAATTGAAAGCTTCCCAAGTGACAGAAGTTATACAAAGCATATCAGAAAGGGTGAGGTTGAATTTCATCAAAATGTATGTTCCTGTCTACAAAGATATTTTCAAATAAGTACCAATAAAGATCTTTTTTTTGTATTTGCATTCTTCGATTACCACTCCCTCTTTTGAACCTGTCAAACCTGTTAACCCAAATACTGGCCTGTCACATTGGAAGATCAGACTGTGTGGTTACCCTAACTAGTACAGAATAGCTCAAGGGATTTGTTTATTGGTTGCTAAGGGTTATTGTACATTCTCGGCTAATAAATAAACCCTCATTGTTTGTATGACAATAGGTTTTCACTTGCATGGAAATGACCAAATGGTGGACTGTAGGGCATGGTTTGCAACTGTGTGTGAGCAGAATGGCCAAATTATAAGACCACTGATGTTTTGTAATGGGACCCCGTGAATAGAGTTAGATGGGATGCTAATAAACAGGTGGTGTTTACGTCTTCACGTGATACCTTCCTGAAAATGGAAACGCTACACACTTTCCATTTGTATTGAAATATTTAACTGAACGTACAAATTTCAAATAATTGTACACTTGCTGCACCATATTTTTATCACTGTATTTAACATGTAAAAAGTCTTCTTCTACTGGCTATATCAGGCAGGTTTATTTCCTTCTTGATTTTTTCGGTTAACACACAATGTTGGGGCAGAAAAAAAAATATATGTCCTTCAAGAACATTAAAGAGCAGAAGTGGGTACTTGGCCCAACATTCGTTAAGTAACTACTTTGTACCCATTTACATGGCATAGTTGCTATAATAACAATATGTTTTTATTCCCATCTTGCATGGTCCGGGGGGGGGGGGGGGTGGTGGTG